TTACAGGTGTTGGGGTTGAGTCTATGTTAAATTTGCACCTGGGTATTTCTCAGTCTATGACGCCATGGAAGTACACTCAAGCTCAAGGATGCAAAGGCCTGAGGCCCACCCAGCACAGCTCCAATAGGAGGTGACTCATAAGCTTTCTAGTCTTGTCTGTCCTGGCAGGTGGTCTTCTTCTAGATCAGAGCCCTACCAAGGGCTTAACACTTGGAGAGGCCTACTTTAATGAGAGTCTCATTTCCAATATGCCCAGGGCTTCTCTCCCTCTACCTCATGGCAAGTAAAAGCCAAGCATAGAGCAAGGGTAGCAGCAGTATTGGCAGCAAGAGTCGGCAGCTTTGGGCCTCAGTGACTTTTCAGTTCCCAAGAAATAGCGTCTGTTCTACTTATTTTCAAATTTCAATTCAAGTAATCCTTTACTAGAAAAGACCAGGCACTTGCTATCCACTCTTAGAGCTCCCTGCATATTTCTCCACCATACTCTGTAGTTCTATGTTTCAAAATATGATTGTTTGTCTCTCTGATTAGACTGTCATACTATGAGGGCAGGGATTTTTTTGTCAACCCAAGTGTGTATGTGTGTGTGTAGGGAATGGAGTGGGGCAGAGAATAACATGTATTATCTCTTTAAGGAATTTAAAGGCCTGAAAAAGGAGAAGATAAAGAGGAAACATTTTATTATGAATTATTTACAAATTACAGGAAACACATGATAAATCTGAGTAGCCACTTCCCATTTCAATCAGCCCTTACATTTTTACCATTCTTGGTTCCTTTTTTAAGAAGAATTGAGCTGTAATTTACAGAGTGAAAGGCTCAGATCTTAACTGTATCATTCAATCAAATCTGACGAATATATGTCACTCCCATGCCTATTAACGCACATGTAGACCATTTCCAGCAATCCAGAAAGGTTCCTCTTCTCCTTTCAACACCCATCCCCGGGAACAGCCCCGGTCTGCTCTCCATTATCACAAGTGATCTGTCTGTTCTAGAATGTCGGATCAAGGGAGTGGAACAGAATGTGCTTTTGGTGTCCGTCTGCGTCCATTCATCCTCTTTTGAGATTCACCCATGTTGTTACATCCGTCGGGTCAGTCTTTTTTCCCTGAGTTGTATTCCATTGTAAGCCTAGACCACATCTTGCTTATTTATCTGTTTTCATGTTGACAGGCAGCTGGGGTGTTTCTAGTTTTTTGATACTATGAATAGAACATTCTTACAGAAAGCTTTTTGTAGACATAGGTTTTCACTTCTCTTGGATAAAAACCTCGGAATAGAACTTCTGGGTCAAAAGTTTGCCTCTTAAAAGGAAAAGCCAATCTTTTCCTAAAGTAATTGTACAATTTGCATGCCCATGGCATGGACATTGGTTAATTCCCATCCCCGTCAACATTCGTTGCTGTCAATCGTTCCACTTTAGCCATTTCAGTGGGTGTGTTAGGAGCCCTGGTGGCATATGGATTCAGCTTTGGGCCTCTAACTCAAAGGTCAGTGTTTTGAGCCCACCCAGGCACTCTTTGGGAGAAAGAAGAGGCCGTCTGTTTCCACAGAGATTTATAGCATCTGAGATCGTATGGAGCGTTATTAACGCTGTCCCTCAGGGGTGCGATGAAGCAGTCCTGTGGCAGTGGGTGTGTTGGAAACACTTGGGTGCCGACTGTGGCTTCATGGGAGAAAAACATGGCAGTCTGCTTCAGGAGAGATGTACCATCTTGGAAACCTTATGGTGTTGTTCTCTTCTGACCGTGGCAATACGATGAGTCAAACAGACTCAAGGGCCACGGGGTTGGCTGGGAGTCAGTGGATGTGTAGTGCTATGACTGCCTTGTGGCTCTAATTGACATTTTCCTGATGATTCACCATATTGAGTACTTTAATATGCTTGTTGGTCATTTGTATATCCTCCTTTGTGAGGTGTCTAAGTTTTGGTCCTCTTTTAAAAACAACAACAACAACTGGGTTTTAAAAACGGAATTGGTTGTTGAAGTGCAAGGAATAACAAGTTCTTTAAGTATTCCAGATAGACGTTCTTTGTTGGACATGTGCTATAGAGATAAACAACTCCAGGTTGTAGTTTACCTATTGTTTCTTCAAGTACCTTGTAACGAGCAGAAGCTTTGACATTTGATAAAGTCTAACTTGATCAACTTTTTAGTGGTATGTGACTTCTGTAGCCTCTCCAAGAATGTTGTCTAGTCTAAGGTGATGAAGATATTTTTCTGTGTTTCTTCCATTCTTTCAGCTTTTCTGCTGAGGTTTTTGCTGTACTTCCAATGATTTAAGTGCATGGTGTGAGGTGGAAGTTAAGCTTATTTTCCCCCCATATGGATATCTAGTTGCTCCAGCAACATTTCCTGATAAGATTTCCTTTCTAGATTAAATTTCTGTGGGACCTTTGTCAAGTCCCTTGACCTTGTCTGCGTGGACCTGTAGTCTGAACCCTCGCCTCTCTTCCCTCGGGTCATTTCCCTTCCTTTTGCTAACACCACACTGTCTTTAGAAGTGTATATTCACAGTCAATCTGAACATCAAGGAGGGTCTATTATTCCAACTTTGTTCTTTTTTCAAAACTATGTTTAATCATTCTAGATTCTTTGATTCCCCCCCTCCCAAATGCACTTAAATTCAGTTGCCAATCTCTACACAGAAGCCCATTGGGATTTTAATTGGTATTCAATCTACAGATCAATTTGAGGAAATCTGCCATCTTGACCAAACATTGACCTTTCATCCCATGAATGTGATCTACCACTCCATTTATTTTGGTTTTCTTTATTATCTCTAAACAATGTCTTGAATACCTTCCATTAAATTTATTCAAAAGTATTTAATTTTTTTAAAGCTGCAAGAAGTGGTATTTCCTTAAACCTTATTTTCTAACTACTCATTGCTAGCAGATAGGAACAGAGGCCTTGTGGTGTTGTTGGGTAAGCACTGAACGGCTGACTGCAAAGTTGGCAGTTCAGACCCACCAGCTGCACTGTAGGAGAAAGACGAGGCTGTCTGCTTTCATAATGACTTACAGACTTGGAAAACCTATGCGAGGTCACTATGCTTAATGGCAGTGGGTTTGGGACTTTTGGGTAGTATTAAGAACCACAATATATTTTAAAATATCGACTTTGCAGCTTATGACTTTGGAGCTCAATTCACGTTAAGTGATCTGGTAATGTTTTTGTAGATTCCTTAGTAAAATTTTATAAGGCACACTGCTGGTGATTAAGAGCTTCGCTACTAACTGAAAAGTCAGCAGTTCAAACCCACCAGCCCCTCTGCAGCCTGCTTTTCTAGAGCCTGACAGCCCTGGATACTCCGTAGGACTCTTTCACTCTGTTCTCCAGCGTTGCCGTGGGTTGGAATTGACAGCCATGGATTTGGTTTAGTTTTAGTACCTTTAACACACTCATGTCATCTGTAAGTAAAGACCGTCTTAATCCTTCCTGTCCAATATTTATACCCTTTTTCCCTGGTCACATTGAACTGACTAGGACTATCAGTACAATTCTGAATAAAGGTGGTGAGTGTAGATGTCTTTCTTTAAAAATATGGATCAAGAAAATAAAATGAACAAAGCCAGAAACTGGTTCTTTAAAAGCCAACAACATTGCGATACCCCTAATAAGGCTGAGTGAGTAAACAGAACAATATCACTAAGTGCCACATCAGGAACGAGTAGCTCATACGGACATTTTAAGAAACTATGATTAGGGCTGTATTGGTCCACTAGCTCACCTCAAGTGGTATTAGCTGTTGTTTCTTCTTCAAAATCATATTAAGGATATTTCCTT